TAGTTCCCACAGTTTCATTTGTCAGCAAAAGTAAACATGGTGCTCACTTCAGCAGCACATATACTAAAATTAGAACGATTTAGAGATGAGCATGGCTCCTGTGCAAGGATGACATGCAAATCTGTGAAGCATTCCATATTTTTGAAAAAAGTAAATATATGCTATTTTTAAAAAAGCAATTGTGCAGAAATAGAATGTTTAAGAATGATAAGCTGTGCTTTCCCATTTCATAGAAATGTCTCAACTCAAACTGCATGTTAGAAGTAGGATGTTACATTAAAATAAAGTAATAATGAGGGTATTTCTATGTTCAGGGGTCTATTTGTAGACATGCTAGAAAAAAATAAAAGGGAACTATAAATGAGGCATTATCTTAAACACCTAGAAGCTGAATTAATCTAACAATGTTTTATAGGTTCTGTCTGCAGTGACCAACTCAGATTGTTCACCTTTGAGAAGTAACACTGATTAAATACTGCCCCTGATGTTATTCTTAAAGCCTTTCTGGTACCATGTGTTTAAAGAAAATCCTATCGAATCAGCTAAAAATTATTGTGGTTGATGAAATTTCCAGTTTACATGAAGAGGTACACACATCACAAGTCTGAAAGCAGTAGACATAACTTATTTACTAATGTTTTAAAGTTCATTTTACCTAACATTAGTAAACACTCCAGTTTAAAACTGTTATGAAAGAAGTTAGCACATTGGAGTTCTACAGGGTTTCCAGCTAAGCTGTCATTTAAACCACACCCACACAGCCCAAAAGCACATCATGCACAGAGAATTAAGGCGAGGTGACATTAAATCTCAACAAGTTTGGGGACATTTTACAAGATGAAAAGGCTTGCTCAACTGGTCCAAAAACACTGTCATCCATAAGAAATAGAAGGAACATTCAGCAGAAATACCAATTTCAGCAATGTCTCTTTCAAATTATGTCACTGAAAAGATTCACAGTATAAGAACTAGTAAGTTAGGGGGCGATCGAGGTAAGGCAAGCCAAGCTCTCCTTCTGAACTCCCTTGAGAAACCATTGTTACCTTTAGTCTTCACCTTTACACTCCTCTAAACTCTCACAGCCTCTCTCTCCTATTAGCTTTTGTAACTATACCTTTTCTGTGATATCTAGAAGCTCCTAGCTTTTTAATACCTATATATTAACATGAATTCTCCATTCTACTAGTCTGTAGTTACTTTTAAGTCATTTTGATGCCTCCCCAAAGACTCACGCAGGTTTTCAATCTGCGTTAAGTCTAAAGTGACATGAAGCATGGCACTGTGATAGCTATATCAGGGGATTTAAAAATAAACCTGATTTTCCTCATAGGACAATTACTAAAATATTCATGACATTGATATACATATACACATCAATTCCACTTTAGAAGTAGGAAAACTACCCTTAGGCAAAAAAAAATTTTTTTTTAATAATTGTTTATTACTACAGGTTCATTGTAGAAAAACTAGAATATACAAATATGAAAATTAAAGATATAACCTTATGGTCCAGAAAAAACACCATATTTAAATTGTATCTTTCTGTTTTTTCTATATATGCAGACATATATTTTGATATATAAACAGTGTATATACTATTTTATAGCCTTTTCCCACTTAACATACAGTACAAATCTTTTGCAGGTCATTAAACATTATATTACAACCTAAATATTTTAGCTGTATAGTATTTCCAAATATGAATTTACCATAATTTAATATCTTATTGTTCTTAAATTGTAATTCTTTTAAATGCTGCTACAAAAACAAAAAACAAAACAAAAGGTTGCTGAATATTCCTTTACATTATAAACGGCAGTGCTTCTAGACTAGTGTACAAGGTTTTTAACCCTATAAAATATTTCTGTCTTTACAGCTATAGTTTTGCCTATATCCATCATTACTTACAACAAATTCCATGCAGAGGGATTGCTGGTTCAAAGAATAAACATGCTTCTAAGGCTTCTGACAGATATTGCCAAACTGTCCTCAAAAAGTATACATTTTCTCCGGCAGTGTACAATTCTCAGTATCTTCATCTGTACTGGGATTATCATTTTTTAAAAATCTTTGCTTGCACAGCATGTTGAAATCAGTCTTCAAGAACTTCCCCAAACATTCTCGTCTAGTCCCTCTAGTCTCCTGCTGCCTAGTCTTCATCTAAGCGGCTCTGCTGCCCTTCCCAGACCTACTTTTGTTTGTGCTTTTCTATTGTTCAAATGTTATGGTGGCTTTGCTATAACACTGACATTTGCCTAGCTAGTATTTTATCCCCTTAGAGCCAAAGTATCAACCAACTAATCTGATAAACTAATCCATGCTAATGTAAAGGGACTTATTTGCTGCAACATTATACAATATAATTTGAGCAGTTTAAGGAAAATATATTATCTATAAGAGTAATACATTTTATTTATCTTATAAAGCAGTGGTTCTCAAATTTTGCCCCAATTAATAATTGCCTGGGGAATTTTTTAAATACTGCTAAATATATTCATCTCCCAGAGATTCTGAAAAAGTCTGGTATCAGGATTTTTTTTTTTAAATCGGTCTCTAAGTAATTCTAATGTAGCATCTCTATTTGAGATGAGTTAGAGATACTAAGTAGCTTCTTCTTAGGTAATGTTGGAGGACCCAAAGGAAGAAAAGCAGTGACTTTAATAATCTCAATCTGACACATCGCACATGATAAAGGAAATAAAGAGGGGTAGTAAAGAGCAAATTTGCCAATGACAACAGAATAAAGGAGCATTCATGCTTCTTGATGCTAGGCAGACTATGTTCTGTTAGGAAATAGGTTATTTAATCTCTTAAATAGTTTTAATTGCTTTCATAATTGAGCCAATCAAGTCAAACTAAAATTATTTGAGTAGCAAGGTCAATGCCATGCAATTTAGTAGTAGCTCTCCAGGTTTCGATGATATAAATTACTTCCAGTTTATTATTACATTTATTGTTTCAACAAAGTTGAGCAATCCTACAAATTTTCCCCATAATCCATAATGGACCTTGGGGAGAACTCCTAGCAGAAAAACTACAAGTACCAGGCATTTAAATACATCATTAAACCTCACAGCAATCTTACAAGGTAGTTATCTGCCCTATTTTACAGAGAAACTCAGGAATATTTGAGATGACACTGATAAATTGCTTTATTGGGTAGAATAGGCTTCCACCTGGTCTGAATGATCTTTCTGATATTTTATAATTCAGAAGAGAAGTGATAAGAGCCACTTCTCTTCAAATCTACTCCTGAGCCACAGGGGCAGGTGAGGACATTTGTTATCTCAACTATAGTTATGACCTGAGGTTACACACATTACCATTTCCAAACACCACCTGAGGGCACCCTTTGTAGAGGACCCAGCACAGTCTTGCCTTTGATGGGGTGGCAGTCTAGTTGGGGAAGAAAGGCTTTTCTCCAAATCTGGCTTTTCCCAGATTACTTATGATTAGGGAAGACTTCCTTGGTGATGTGAAAACTGAGAATAATCTGTGCAGCCAACACAGCAGTTTCTTTTTTCCTGTTTTCCTTGTGTTGAAGTTACTGTAGAAGACCATTTAACTCACCCAGGTAAACACCATTTTTCTCCAGAATCTTTGAGGGGTGTTGCTTCCAAATTACATAATTTCATGGGGGAAGAAATGGATCGCAGGGCTTCCTACATACTGACTTTCTTGGCACCAGCACTAGTGAAGGGGATGATCATTCTCCCACCATGTCAACAGGAGGAAAGGAAGGGAGTCTATAGCCTCATAGGCCCTCCCTAAGAGACAAAAGGCTTGCAGGTGTAGAATGTGGCTGAATCCAGGAAATTCAAGTCCATACTAGGAATGTGCTACAATACCCTACTTAGGGGACTTTTGATAAGACAGAGCCCCACAGACTATGTAATCCTACACGTAATTAGAGTGGACAGGGAAAAGGAACGTAAACTAGCTAGGAAAATCATGATTTTTCTTCCCTATTTCTCTAGTTGTCATTCCTGAAAGAGGAGTTTACAAAAATATTCTGAGGTTAAAGCCCAAGGTTGAGGGGAGGGAGGACACTTGGTTTTGGAGGAGGGTTGTTTAGATAGAGCAGGCTGCTCAGAAATACTGTCCAATCACAGGGCTCAGTCTTGGCTGTAGACTGTAGTTTAGATTTTAGATTCTCTGACACTAAAAATAATGCCTCTTACCATGGAATAAATCAAAGACAGTTACATTTTCCTGTCCATGGAGAGAAATGTTACCCTTCTAGGTTAAGGCGGGTATCCTGGCTCAGGCAAAGGTTATATCCTTGACAGCCAAGAACAAACAATAAACGCTGCAGGTAGAAAGAAAACATGCACCATGCAAACAAGGGCTGCCACTGCCTCCGCCGCCTCCTTTTCGGCCGGCCCAGCCTCCTAGCCCCCTTTCTGGGGCTGAGCAGAGAAGTGCCACGGACGAAATGGGAGATCCGCGCGGCACCTCAAGTGCTCAGAGGAGCCCGCCGGCAGTCTCCGGGGATGGGGCGCCCCACAGCCAGGGTCCGCGGGGAGACTGCCCGTGCCTGCTTCTGCTTTTAAGGTGGCTGCATTCCCTGGAATCAGAGCCTGCTTTTCCCGAGCTTTCCTAAAACATTTAACTCACCCAGTGCCGGCCGCTACGGGAGAACGACAGTGGGGGAGGGGTGGTTTATCAAATGCTGAAGGTTTTGTTTTTCACGTTGCAAACCAAGAAGGGGGGGGGCGGATATTTAGGACAGATGAAGGTTTAAACGGTTGTCAGATCCTACTCAAGAACTTCGCCTCTTCCGTCGCAGACGCAGACTAGACATGCAGATCTAGCCCGCTGCCAGCAACCTGGCGGCGAATGCGATACCCTGAAAATGCCCGGCCGGGCCACCTTAAAAAACCGATAGCCTCAATGCATCAGAAAAACATGCATTGTGGAACACAGTCGGGAAATCTTGCTGCCCCTTCAAATGTCGCCTGAGAGGGGGAAGCGGGAAGCAGCGCGGGGCTGCGCCTCACCACTTGCTGTGCGCCCCGGAAAGTCGCGTCCAGCAGCATCAGCTTCCAGGGATCCGACACGGAGCTGGGCAGCGGGATGTAGACGTAGTAGGCGGCCAGCGCCACCAGGGCGGTGAGCAGCACGCAGGACGACCTCATGCTCCCCGGCTCGGCTCGCCCGCGGGCCGGCGAGAAGGAAAGGACGATGCCACCCCAAGACCTCCTGCAAGTCGCCGCCAGCGGCAGCTGCTCATTTACGCCTTTCTTATAAGCCCAGGAGCCAATCGGAGGCGGCGTCGGGAGGAAGTCGGAGGGCTGACGTGCCCCTCTACGGTGTCCTTGCAAAGTGTCGCAGGCACTCCAGGTCTGGGGAAGCTCGGGCGCCGCGCCGCGCTTCGCACAGCGGACTCTGGAGGACACCGGTTAGTACTGCACGCCTGTGACGATGGGCTTCCTCCGGAAGGTTTCTCAAGCAGAAAACCAGAATAGTTTCAGTGTGATGAGTCTCTGGCTAAAAGCACGTGAGTCATTCTGACTCAAAATGGAGATACTATTGGGAAAGATAATAAAACCTCTCTACTCTCCACAGCCAGACTTGCAATGGTATGTAAGTTCTAGCCAATATATAGTGCAAGATTATTATTATTATTATTATTTTGCTCAAGAAATGACATGCCAGAAATGCATCTAGCATCCAAGTCTTGATTTCCAAATCCCATTCTCCAAGAAGAGGAACCACGACTCTTTGCCACTACTCCTTGGAGAAAAGCCTGATTCCAGGGCTGGGGCAGGAAAAGTATAAGACAAGGCTTTTGTATCAGAGGTGAGGAAGTGCTCAAAAAATAGTGGGGACTGGTGACAGGGACACAGGTGGCAGCCTGAAGTGTCTCCCAATGGCTAGAGCTGGGATAATTTTACTGTCAGTGTAAATCATAATAATGGATTATAAATCATTGAATGAAATAAAAACTCAGGAATCTGTACTAATAGGAATGCATAAATAAGTGAAGAAAGAAGAAACTCTTTCCTTACAAATAGAATGCCACCTAATAACCATAGAAAATCATATGAAGGCTAAGACTAGTGGGTAAAAATTTGACAAGGAATTTTAGTTCCTCATCAGAAGATCTTACTACAAATTATTAATTATGAAAGGAAAAATAATAACTTTTTAATGAAGAAACCTGGTGTACACCACCTGAAAATTTTCTTTCGGTGAGTCAACAGAAGCAGAAAATGCATTAAAATTCAGTTTTCCTGTTAAAGATTGAGGGAGAGGGGAGTACGAAATGGGAGAGAGAAAACTAGCAGAATTACAATCAGAAATCCAGAAGGAAAACATTTAGAACTGTTTCAAGGAGGTGGTAGTAGAGTACCTAAACTTATTGATCAAGGCCTTAGCACACCTGGTACATAGTGTAGTAATTTAAATTTGATCTAATCCACAGAAATGAAATATCCATAAATTTGGGTCTGATGATGCGATTAGGAGACAGTTAATTTCCTCTTCAAAGTTGGAGGAAAACATTGACATGAAGGACACACTTCAACAGTGTTTCAAGCGTAAGTTTGAGATAATTGTTTTCTCGTTTTATAAAAGTTATTGGTTAAGCATTTGACTCTAAACAGATAGGGGTTCGTGTGTATATATGTGAGTGTATGTGCATAAAATTAGAAGCTAATCTTTATGAGTTATTGGATATAATCCTAGAGATATAAACCAAACTGACTACTGGATTTAGTTACATTAACTTGCTTTCAGGTAACTTGCAAAATAATTTTACCTTGGAGACATTAATATTTTTCTCCTGGATTTTGACTATATATTCATAAAAACATAGATCTTAGAGCTAATGACAAAATTAAACCAAACCAAAAACCAAAACCCCACACCTGACCCAGTCTTCCATCTTCAGCCAGTAGGAACAAGCTCAGTGTTATAGATGAGCCTCTTGAGGACTAGAGCTGCAAAACAGCTTGTTCATATTCCTCTAGTGTGTAAGTGATGGAACCAATATTTACTTCTCCTGCCTCCTGGTGAAGAGCAGTTTCCCTTAAGCAGTGCACTAAGAGATAGACACTAAGGAAGAAGAAAGAAATTGCAACAATTCTCAGCACTTTGTCTGTAGATCTGAGAGTTTTTATTTATTTATTTGTGGCGGAGTCTCACTCTGTTGCCCCGGCTAGAGTGCTGTGGCATCAGCTTAGCTCACAGCAACCTCAAACTCCTGGGCTCAGGCTAGAGTGCTGTGGCGTCAGCCTAGCTCACAGCAACCTCAAATTCCTGGGCTTAAGTGATCCTTCTGCCTCAGCCCCCCAAGTAGCTGGGACTACAGGGATGTGCCACCATGCCCCGCTAATTTTTTCTATGTATTTTTAGTTGGCCAATTAATTTCTTTCTATTTTTAGTAGAGACAGGGTCTCACTCTTGCTCAGGCTGGTTTTGAATTCCTGACCTTGACCGATCCATCCACCTTGGTCTCCCAGAGTGCTAGGATTACAGGCATGAGCCACTGCGCCCAGCCTGAGAGTTTTTAAAAATGAGATCGATTTGATTAATCAGGCATGGTGGCATGGGTGCCTGTAGTCTCAGCTATTCTGGAGGCTGAGGCAGGAGGATCGCTTGAGCTCAGGAGTTTGAGGTTGTGATGAACTTTGATCATGCTACTGTACTTCAGCCTGGATGACAGAGCAAGACCTTGTTTGTTTGTTTGTTTGTTTGTTTGTTTGTTTAAAGAGAGACCAATTTGAGATAAATGTAAACACCTTCATCACCTGTATCTTAAATACCTTCATTGCTTGTTTTCAGTACTCTACTCATTCAACAAATATACTGGCCCACACTGGGAAATAAAGGAGTTGAGGGTGGCAAGGCAATAAGGTCTCTGCTCTTTTTGATTTTTGCAGCAGGTGAGAGGGTGTTGCAAGGAAGGTACAGAAGGATGGGCCAAACATTAAACTACCAAGTAATAATAGTCAACATCCATTCAGTTTGGCTTACTATGAGCCAAATTCTGGGGTAAGTGCTGTGAATGTATTAATTCATTTAGTCTTCTTATTGTTAGATCCTGTTGTTATTCTGAAAACAGAAGCATTGAAGGATGTAGTGCTTTGCCCCAAGTCACTAACTAGTGAGAGGTATGACTGGGATTTGAGCCCACAAATCTGGGGCTAGTGCTCACATGCTTTACTGCTCAACTCTACTGCTGAATGATTAGGTCTGTGAAGAAAATAGAAGAAGGTGGCGTGACCTCCTGTGGCTGGGAGCTGCTTTAATTTGTGGGGAAGGGGGAGATGGCATTTGAGCTGAGACCTGAATGACAGGGAAAGACAGCAATGCTGGGATCTAGAGGTAGAAGGAACAAGTGCAGATGCTAAAGACAAGAAGCAGAAAGAGTGATAGTGAGGCAGGAATAGTGTGTAAGGGGCAGTAGTAGTACAGGCCTGGTCAGAGAGGTAGTGTGGGTGCAGACGAGGGCAGATCATTTAGGACCATGCAGACCATGATAAGGAGTTTGAATATTCTGGTGTAATGGGAAATGGCTTGATCTGATCTCAAGACCTATCAGTGGCTTTTGCAGTAGTCCAGATGAGATACGATGGTAACCTGGAGTGACAGTTTAGTTTAGCAGTGGAATGAAGATACAGGGACAGATTTAGGATATATTTTAGAGATAGAGGAGATAAGATGCACTTTTAAATTGTGAAGGGTAAAAAGAGATAAAAAGAGAAGAGTCCACCATCTGGGGGATGGTCATGATGGAGACTCAGACTTGTGGGGGTAGGGGGGGAAATGGGCATTTATTGAAACCTTAAAATCTGTACCCCCATAATATGCCGAAATAAAAAAAAAAAAAAAGAGAAGAGTCAATAAAATGCTTTGCTTCTAAGGAAACAAGGAGTAGTTTGAGTCAAGCAATTGATGTTTTAAGAGAATTTTATAGAATTTTTATAGAATTGCTTAAATTAATTTTTATTAAAATCTTCTAAATACATGACATAGCAGTATCATTGCTCAACAAAATATTTTTATTATTTGAAATAATTTTCCCCAAATGGCATATACTACACCATGTGAAGTGGGCTTCTTCATCCAAGACAAGTAGAATTTTAGTTAAACATTTACTGAGTCTTGTCTGTAAGGCAGTGTGGTAGGTGCTGTTGTGACGAAGATATGATCCCTTTCCTTACAAAAAGTGTCCACTCTGGTTAGAAAGTCAGATAAATGGATTATTTCAAATAATCCAAAGTTCAGAGATGTAATGCAGAGGAAGTCAGAATTAATTCTGTTCTAGAAAAATGAGGCAAAGAAGATCCACAAAAAAGGTGATGAGCTAGTGGGTTTTGCAAACTGAAGAGGAGTGTGCAGGCAGACAATAGGTAAGGTCTTCCCAGGCAGAGAGAAGAGCCTGTACAAAAGTCCCCAAATGTGGTGTGAGCAGAGAACTACAAGTAGTTTGATACTTTGGGAGCATCATCAGATGCAGGGAGGTAGAGGGTGTTGACAGTTTAACCTGAAGAGTTAGGCAGAAGTCACATGACACAAGGCCTTGTATGTTATGTCAGGGAGTTTGAAAATTATCTTGCAGGCAGTGGGGAGACATTAGTGTTTGCATGAGATCACTTTGGTAGCAATGTAGAGGGCATATTGGTGGGGAGAGAACAGGGGAAGGTGTATGAAGGATATTGCTTCTAAGGTGTCCAAGAAAGAGATGATATTTATTAGCCTGAACTTGTGTCAGGTGATGGAAATGTGGATGAAGAGTCAAAAGATACCTAAGAGGCAGAAGGAAAAGGACTTGGAGATGGAGGGTAAAAGAATAGTCAGGATGAATTCCCAGGTCACTTGAAGCAGCTGGGAGAATGGTGTTGCCTTTTCGGAGAGAAAGAATGGTGGAAAAGTGAAAGGTTTGAGGGAAAATGATAAACTTAGTTTGGAATATCTAGGTTTGAGTTATCTGTGAAACATCTAAGTAGAAATAGTTTGTAGGCTCCAGGTCATACAAGTCAGGAGCTCATAGGAGAGGTACAAGCTGGAAATGTAAAAGTGAGAGTCTTCATTCTGTACCTGAAGCTATAACAGTGAGTGAGAGAGAAGGTAAGCATGTATATATGGTGGGGGCAGGGAGAAACAGGCCTGAGGGCCTGGGGGTTCACAAAAGAAGCCAAGAAGTGGCCAGAGAGGGAGCTGTCTGAACTAGACAAACAGAGTAGTCCCAGATAATGAAGGGCAAAGAAATCATTGAGAAGTTAAATTAAAGGAATTTTCTAGCTGGATTCCTGAATCGGCAATGGAAAGGATGAAGCTAATAATGACTTCGAAGTTTCTGGTTTTGGTAATGTCATTAACTGGCATAAGAAATACTGGAGGTAAATCAACTGGGCATTGTGGCACATGCCTGTAGTCCCATCTACTTGGGAGG